CCTCGTCTTTCGTTGTTCCGCTGCCCCAGTCCCTGTTTTGCCTTTGCCTCTGCTTGACCTTTCCCCATTTCTCGCGGGTAAATGACTGGCGAACAGCTGTGCTGCTGCTGCTGCTGCTGGTCCTATTCCAATGCCCTTGCCCTTTCGTCCGGTCTGGTCTTCGTTGGCCCTGCAGGCAAGCTAACAGAAGACTGCCGCAATTCTTATCATACTGGCACCTGAGATTTGTCCAGACCAATGTGTTCCGTGCTCTCCTAGTCGCTGGTTTTCACGCTTGCAGCCATTGCCCTCTTTTGCCCCCCTGCTTCCCATTGTGAACAAGACGACGTCTGAGTCTGGGACCCAGTTGGCGACGCACAAGCGCTACTCAGGCCCGGACTGTGTGGCTTTCCTCCTCCCCCTGGAGGATCCCCCCCGCACCGACCAATACCGTTGTGCTGTGCTCTGGGCTGATCGTCTTGGCATCCCCCTCCAGCGTCTTCCCGTCAGCAGGACGCGAAATGCCAAGCACATCGCGCCGGAGGAGGGGTGGTAGGGATCATCTGCCGCACCAGTCACTCCCAGTTGGAGGAGCCAGGGAGACGCCATGCTGCGATCCGAATGGTGGAAAATACTCATGGAAAATTCACCGTCCGTCTACTCGGTTTGCGGCTCGATTGTCTGGGGTCGACTCTGGGGGGTGGAGGACGATGGCTGACGAACGGGGGGGCCTAGGAGGCTGGCTTGGGTGATGATCAGGCATGTTGCCCTTGTTGGGCCAGACGCTCCCTCAAGCCGATGCAACACCATGTCCGAAGCCCGACTATTTGAGATGTGGAGAGATGCCCCAGGTTCCCCCAGAAGATCGCTCCCCATCCCATCTGGCAGCAGGCGTCTCAGATCATATATCAAGGACACCTCCTTCCCTCCATCTTGGGTGTCTTTCCTCTCGTGTCCTCCACCGCCCTCCAACAACCCAAATCGGTCCTCTGCTACCCTGCACCCTCGCAAGGTCCAGACAAGGAAAGATAGATCGTCTTTCCCATACCCGGTCGACAATTCAGTACGCCATCTCTAGCGGCAGCACCTCTACGGACAGTCGCCCAGTATGGTTGTCTCCATCCTCAAAAAGATCGTCCACAATGAGGCGATGCAAACTGATCCCCATGAGATCTATTCATGGAGGGTCCTCGCCCTCGCCTGCTCGGCCTGTTTCGGTGCCATGTCCTTTGGCTGGGACAGTTCCGTCATTGGCGGCGTTGTCGTCATGGAACCTTTCCAGAAGTAGGTCACCACTCACTCGGCTGCTTGTTACTACCAGCAGTACGGAATGCTAACCTCTTCGTAGGGATTACGGTCTGATTGACGGCGTCACCAACAACGTTAAGGACGCCAACCTGGCAGCCAACATCGTCTCGACCCTCCAGGCCGGATGTTTCGTCGGTGCCATCGCCGCTTCGCCCATTACCGACAAGTGGGGCCGCAAGAAGGCTCTCCTCGGAACTTCTCTCATCATCTGCATCGGTGTCATCATGCAGGCTGCTTCTCTCGGTCATCTCGCCCCCATCTTCGTCGGTCGATTCATTGCTGGTCTCGGTGTCGGTGCCGCCTCCTCTGTCAACCCGCTGTACATTTCTGAGAACGCTCCCCGTTCCATCCGTGGTCTCCTCACAGGTCTCTATCAGCTCTTCATCGTCACGGGCATGATGATTGCCTTCTGGGTCAACTACGGCGCCGCCCTCCACGCCACTGGAAAGACCATGTACATCATTCCTCTGACGCTCCAGGGTCTCCCCTCGCTTCTGCTCTTCATCTGCATGTTCTTCGCCCCCGAGTCTCCTCGATGGTTGGCTCGCATGGATCGCTGGGAAGAGGCCAAGTCCACTCTAGCCAAGCTCCGTAACCTGCCCGAGACTCACTCGTACGTTCAGGAGGAGTTCCGTGAGATCCAGGAGCAGCTTGAGCACGAGCGCATCATCTCCGGTGACGCCACCTTCGGCAACCTCATGCGCGAGATGTGGACCATCAAGGGTAACCGTAACCGTGCCTTGATCTCTGTTGTTCTTATGATCTGCCAGGTGAGCCTTGATTCCTGCTGTGCCGAATCACAACATCCGTACTGACAGCCTGAGTAGCAAATGACCGGTACCAACGCCATCAACACCTACGCTCCCGTCATCTTCAAGAACCTCGGTCTCACAGGTACTACCGTCCCTCTCCTTGGTACCGGTATCTACGGTATCGTCAAGGTCATTGCCTGCATCGCCTTCCTGCTGTTCGCCGCCGACTCCCTTGGTCGCCGCAAGTCTCTCCTCTGGACCGCCATTGCTCAGGGTCTTTGCATGTTCTACATTGGTCTCTACGTCCGCATCTCGCCTCCCAAAGCGGGCGAGGACGTTCCCCCTCAGGGCTACATGGCTCTGGTCGCCATCTTCCTCTTCGCCGCCTTCTTCCAGTTCGGCTGGGGCCGTAAGTTGATCCCTTGTCACACGCCCGTTGTCTTGCCTTTTACTGACACGACATATAGCTGCGTGCTGGATCTACGTCTCTGAAATTCCCTCTGCTCGTCTCCGTTCCATGAACGTTGCCCTCGCCGCCGCCACCCAGTGGCTCTTCAACTTTGTTGTCGCCCGGAGTGTCCCTGTCATGCTCGCCACTGTCGGCCGCGCCGGTTACGGCACATACATGATCTTCGGATCCTTCGCCTTCTCCATGTTCGTCTTCGTCTGGTTCTTCGTCCCCGAGACCAAGGGTCTCTCTCTCGAGCGCATGGACGAGCTCTTTGGCGTCACCGAGGTCGCTGCCAAGTCCAACGACAGCCTCAACGAGCACGATAGCAAGAACGGCGCCGAGGTTCAGATTGATGAGCCGTACGCGCCCAGCCGCAACGACAAGGTCTAAGCGATTTCCCTGGTGGGAGATGTTTTTGTGTGCCTCTGTTTGGAATTGTGGGAAACGTGGCATGTCATTGACGCAAAGTCTGATATCTATACACTGTTTAGCGTGCAGAGACTAGCTATTGATAAGATTTGAGATAGCGAATCGAGTTTGAGCGTCTTGACCATGCAACTGGATCTTGATTGTGACTGTCGTGGAGTGAGGCAGTGCCGTGCCAAGTGAGCTTGCGGAGTTCGTCTGTAAGTGAACCTACCTAGGACAAGTCCACAATATTCGCCTCGACAACTTGATGCGTGGAACAGCCATGACACAAGCTTATTGTTTCCTCATGTCATAGCATATGCTCGAAAATGGAGACAGGGAGAGGAAGGGAAGGCATGCACAGCTCACTTTATCAAAGGCGGGTGATACACGGATGCACCACTCTTCCAGAGCCCACATTTGTATGTGTTATTCTTGTACAGGTACCTGTGACCATGATTCCTATTCTCAAAATGCACAAGTGGCGCGTTGAAGGGGGAATGCTGAA